TAACAGAACTGCATTAATTTCCAAGCAGCTACAGTCAAAACAGGAGCACCTGGAGGAGGGATATATGGGATGCAGGTGCAACTTTTGATTTCACTGTTAATACATTGTAGGGGGCCCCTCATACACTGAAAACAGGAAATATAGGAGATTGGAAATATGATCATCATCATCCAATTCAATTTCAACAGTTAAATTATATTTATACACACACACTATTCTCAACATAGTCCTACCTGTGGATACTTAAATTTGGAGACTGGAGCCATGGACATACAAGAGAGATCTTTCTACAAACCTGAGAAAAACTCCAGGTTTACAGAAAAATATGAAATCCAAAAAATAAAAAGGGGGTTAAAAACATCCAAAATGATAGAAGCAGCACCTGTGACTTTAAGAAATGAATGTCATTGGTGGTCATTGCTAGTCAATCAAAAGCTTTGCAAGCTTTTAGGCCTTGGCAAGAGGGGCAGGGTGATAATTTTCACAGTTTTCCTAGTATTTTCTTCTTCAGGGATTATACAACATGCTATTCAATATCCAACAAAACTGCTGTGTCCAATTTTCTGCTCCTGGAATTCTCGGAGGTTCGGGAACTGCAGTTGCTACACTTCACTCTATTTCTGAATATGTACTTGGCAACTATTACAGAGAACCTCCTCGTAATCTCTTCAGTTGCCTCAGACCATCACCTGCACACCCCCATGTACTTCTTTCTGATGAATTTGGCTGTGCAGGACCTTGGCCAAGTTTCAGTCATTGTCCACAAATCCATGATCAAGTCCCTCCTGAATACCAGGCACATTTCATACTCAAGATGTGTAGCTCAAGTCTTCTTGTTTTTGTTCTTTATAACATCTGATTTCTGTATCCTCACAGTTATGGCATATGACTGATATGTGGCCATTTGTAATCTATTGCAGTATGAAATTATAATGATTTGATAGGCCTGGACTAAAATCATTGCTGGTGTATGGATCACTGATTTTCTGAATGCTGGAATGTCACCAAACCATTGAGTCCTTTGCAACCCATTTCTGCTCTAATGTTGTCAATCAATTTTTTGTGATTTCCCACAGCTAATAAAATTGTCTTGTTCTGACGTAAATCTCATTGAAATCATTAGTATTGTAATTTATGTGAACATTTTCACCACAGTGTTGATTGCCTTCTGAAAGGGGAGACAAAAAGGCTTTCTCCACTTGCACCCCCACCTCATTGTCTGCTCCACATTTGTCTTCAGAGGAGGCTATGTCTACTTGAAGCCTACTTCTAACACCCCATCATGGTTAGATTTGATGTTTGCTATAATCTGTTCCCTAGTTCCACCCATGTTGAATCCTGTGATCTACAGTATAAGAAGCAAGGAGATTAAAAAAACAATGGCAAAGGTTTTAGGTATTAGGAGTTTAGGTACATGATCCAGTTTGGTACTATCAGTGTGTGTTTGTTCAGTTTTTCTGCTTTCGCAACAAAACTAACATTAAAATGCATAGCCAGCAAGCACCTAATGTACAATGTCAGTTTGAGTCTTCATACATAAGACTAGGGATGGGCACAGACCAAAACATGGAACTAATTTTTCCATGGACCGGGGCCCCGTTCATGGTCTGTGAGCCTGGTCCATGCACCCACCAACACGGACCTCTTATGACCGTGCCAGGAGGTCTATAGGTCCATGTGGGGGTGGGCTTGCAAAAGCCATTTAAAGGGAATGCTTGATGGCTTTGCAAAGTGTGTGACATGTGAGTGAAGGGCAAGCGCTGATTTCATTCACCCGTAAGTGGGTGAACTCATTGCTTGGCCTTCACTCACATGCTGGGCAGCTTTGCAAAAGACACTTAAAATTTAAATAGCATGGCCCAAACGGACCATGGTCCGATCCATTAATCTGGAGATTCGTGGCCCTGGGGTCTATAAACTCCATGGACCTTCACATAACATCATTTTTCTGGACCGTGCCCATCCCTACATAAGACTTCATAATGAGGTGGATCCTACTACTCCACTGAGCAAAGTTAGTTTGCTAAAATATTTATACCACACTTTTCCTTTTGGCTCAAGTTAGAAGCCTTCCTCCAAATAAAATGGCTCTTCCATCGGAGGAATAAACACTTATGGGGGAAGATAAATCCTTAGTCTGGAGGAAGGCTACTTGGAGGATAGCCAGTGATAGCTGGCTGATGTGAAGATGCTTATAAGGTGCATCTGGGACTCCACTAAGCCTGGTGGATGCTGGGATTGACAATATGGAACCTGAGAAGAAGGGGCCTAGTGTTATCTCTGTCCCCATCTGACAGTGTTACATTACAAGCAGATGGAGTCACAATTTTAAGATATCTTATAATTTATGATGTCTACAAATCAGAACGAGATAAGAGAATCAACTGATCCATACTTCTGCCTCTCCCACCAGTTTTTAATAAATGTCCCAGTGGTACTCAAAGAAAATAATGTATGTGTGATAGATTCTAACAACCTAGATCATGAAGAAATTGCCATATTAACACCTTAATTTCAAATATGGAAGGCACTTTAGACATCTTTTCCTGTGGTTACTCCTGAGATCAGGTATTTATGGAGCGCAAGTGTGAGTTTGGGGGGTTGGTGTTGTTGGGCTGCAAAGTTTAGCACTGATGAAACTCATAAGCCACTGTTGGTTGCTTCATGGAGGAAGGTGGAATATAAAAGTTGCATTTTTAATAAATAAAAAAGGTGGAAAATATTGGCCTGATGAATAAGAATCACATAGTAGAATTGATTGTACCAATTCAGACTGAAGATGAAGGCTCACATTTGGAATGTTGCCCTAATGTTCACAGCTTCCAGCATGTGATCTCCCCTAATGTTCAACGCTTCCCAGGTGACCTTCCCCAAATCTATGGCATGTGCAAACCTGTGACATACTGCACTACACTATATACTATTCCATTACACCGGTAGGACTGTAATAGTGGTTCCCCTACTACACAGCAAACAACAATGTGATACGTTCAGCTTCTAACAATAGCAATGACTTGCTCCCCTAGGTGTGTCTCATCTTATATGATTAGATATTGGTGCACAAAGTCATAGGATGGATGCCTACATCTTATACTGAACAATGGGAAATAGATTCTGAGGAATAGATGAATTTGAAATAATGATTGAGAAAGACTGATATCTTGTGAGTGTTCCTTCATTCTTAGATACATACATTAAGCCAGTCTTTGACTAATAATAAGTACAGCCTAGAATGGTAACTTGTCTGTTATTCCTGTTCCGAAAAAGTTATTTTGGTCTCCTGAGAGCTAATCTCCAGAAACCAAATTATGTATATTAATATTCTTCCATCCAATGGCAAAAACTTCTCACTGCTAGTATAGACAGTCCTTTTCTTCAAGTGTGTGAGACAGAAAGATATTCATGAAGTTACATTGGCTGGAGAAGTACACACTTCTGGGCAGTGGCTGTAGAAGAAAATACACCCGGAGATTCAAACATCTATAAAGAAAAATAGTAAGTTCTTTATACACTTGCAAGCTTAGCAATCACCATGTATAAAGAAAAATGATGATAACAGTGCTGAGATGCACATTCAGGATAGCATCCAGACAGTTTTTTCCCCTTCATTCTCACCTAGAGACCCTCCTTAACCACCCACATAGCTGTTGCCTGCGCAGGTCCCATGATCTCCAGGTATAGCTTTTTTGGTGGGCAAGGGGGATGCCTCCTTTCCTTTTCACCAGCAGAAAAATTCATTGGCTCAAACCCATATGAAAGAAAAAACATGATCCAGGAAAAGTTAAAAGTTTGGAAGGCAAAGGTATAGATGAATATTTATTTCTGTTTCTATAGATTTTATGTATGTAGTAAAAATAGTAATCCCTTTTCAATCGATAATACATTATCATTGTTGATAGCTTTTACTAATTTTCACCCAATATATATTATATACTATGAACATCACTTATACATATAATAAGCAGTGTAAGAAGGCACTGCCAATCTTTACCTTCAAAAATGTCTGTATACTTTAATGGAAAGATTGGATACACAGAGACACCATTTTGATTAGGATTAAGGGATTCCGGCTATTTTGTCGGCTTAGGTCCTCACATTGCATCCATGCAATGGGCAAATTTAGAAGCAGGACAGAGACAAGTAAAGAATAAGACTATTGAAAATGTATGGTGAATCACCCATTTTTCATCATAATGTTTTAATCAGTTCAGCATTTTAAAAGATGGAGGGAAGCTAACTTGTCCAGCTAGCTGGATCCAACTCTGTATAATTTTCAAAATCTGAAACTGATCACCTCCACCAAATGTACAGGGACAGAGAAACTAAGTGACTCCCTTTTTAAGGACTATCCCATGTGATGTTATTTGCGGCAAATTAGAAGATGAAGGATTGAATCCTGCCAGTTTATGTTTCATCCTCATCACCCAGTTTCAGAAATGCAGCTTAACTCATTACTCAATGGAACTGTATTTTTTACAGTTTGCATGCCATTTCCTTCCACAGGCAAAATATAATTAGTACTGAGTGCAAAATGTCCAGCAACACTTCAGGATCTGACTTTCTGCTCCTGGAATTCTCAGAGGTTTGGGAACTACAGATTCTGCACTTTCTTGTGTTCCTTTTATTGTATGTGGCAACTCTTACTGGGAATCTTCTCATCATCTTTACAATAGCCTTTGATCATCATCTGCACACCCCTATGTATTTCTTTCTCATGAACTTGGCCATGCAGGACCTTGGTGAAATTTCAGTCATTGTCCCCAAATCCATGATGAATTCCCTCATGAATACCAGACACATTTCTTACTCTGGGTGTGTTACTCAAGTTTTCTTGTTTGTTTTCTTTTTAGCATCTGATGTTTTCCTCCTCACAGTCATGGCGTACGATCGGTATGTTGCCATTTGCAATCCTTTCCAGTATGAAATGATAATGAACATGAGAGATTGTATTAAAATGGTTGTCACCACATGGATCAGCGGTCTTCTCTATGGAGCATTGCACACCACTGGTACCTTCACAATTTCCTTCTGCTCTAACATTGTTAATCAGTTCTTCTGTGAAATACCACAGTTACTTAAGCTTGCTTGTTCTGATTCATACCGCATTGAGCTTGGGGTAGTTGTGTTAAGTGTTATCCTATTGTTTGGGTGTTTTATCTTCATTATTGTAACTTATATACACATCTTCATTGTGGTGCTTAGAATCCCATCTGTACGGGGAAGAAACAAAGCCTTCTCAACATGTGTTCCCCACCTCACAGTCTTCTCCACCTTAGTATTCACTGGATCCTTTGCCTACCTGATGCCGACTTCCAAAATCCCATCCCATTTTGATTTAGTATTATCTGTGATATATTCCATGATTTCACCCTTGCTGAATCCTTTGATCTACAGCATGAGAAATCAAGAGATCAAAGTTGGCGTGAAAAAACTATTAAGGTTGAAGTACCCTTCTAACAGTACTTGATATGCTTCACTTCTGTACTGTTCACGTGGACTGAAAGCTGTATGTAGTTTATTGCAAACACAGGAACTTCTGGAAAACACTTATGCCTTTAATCTGACAAACAGTCATGAAATGCTCTTGCCTTTAATCTGACAAAAAGCAATGACATGTTCATTCATGTTGCTCCAGCATAAATGTATTGGCAAGCCCACTTTTCTCACATCACATACATGCCAATCTATGCTATTTTAATTTTGCCTGAACAGCATCTAATTTGTAGATCTAATTAGTTTCTGTACATTTAATTTGCTGCTGTGTATGGAAATAAGTAAAAAAAAAGCACCATGATTGTTAAAACTGTCCTCCATGAAAATTTTGGATGAATGCAATTATATTGAAGGCATTGTAATAAAAGCTGTGTGGTGTACTGATTACCATGTTAGACTAGGATCAGGAAGACTCAGGGTCAAATCCCTGCTTGCCATGAAGCTTACTGGGTGACCTTGGGCCACTTATTTAATTTCAGGCTAACCTGCCTCATCGGGTTGTTCTGAAATAAAATGGAGGAGAGAACACTGAGCTCCAAGGGGAAGGGTGATATAAAAAATGTACTAAATAAATAAAATACATCTTAAATAGCAATGGCACCGAACTTCATGGTACTGACTTTTGTCACTGTTGTTCTGTTCAATCTATCCAACAGATTCTAGTTAACAATAGGATTTTTTTCCTTTTTCTTATTTAAGCAAACTAAAATGGCCACTTCTGAATAAGGGGTTGGGTCCCATGAGCTTTTCCATCAGTAAAAAGAGAGAGAGAGAGAGAGAGAGAGAGAGAGAGAAGAGGGATTCCCTTTGACCTCACCAAAAGGGAATGCTGGGGATCACGGGATCTGAATGGACAAAAGTTGTCTGCAATGGGGTATGTAATGTCGAAGGAAATTGTGCAAGATACACTGAAAAAATTGGCTGAATACCACTGGGATCAATAGTATGGAAGAATGCTGACCTGCAAGGTGCATTTGCAAACATGATGACGGGGGAATAAGTCAGTGTTCTCCATCACACACACACTATTCTCTTTGCTAGGCCTGTGAGAATGGCCCCTGTCTTCTCACTACCTCTAGTTTTCTGCTCACCATCTCTTTGGCTCACAAGTCAAAGTTCGAAAATGATCTCTGCGATGAACTGACTCTTACTGGTCCTGTCATAATCATTGCCAGTACTTCCTTGTTCAGGTTAACCTTCCATTTCCAGGGCAAAAGGAACCCCTAAAAAGTTTTGGATGCTTTTGTAGGAAGGAAACTATCTTGTGGATGGCATCAGATAGCTAGCATGGATTGGGTAGCCTTTAGGAATCTCCCCATTCTCTCATTCATATGCCTGCACTTGTCTGGATGACTAAAGCTTCTATAAGGGCAGATTTACCAAACAGAGAGAGAATTAGTCTTTTCTGAAAGTTACATTTAATGCACAAAGGAGAAGGGAGAGAGGATTCCAACAAGCAATCAGTGAGAAGACTGGAGAATGGAGACATGTGTTGTGTGTGGGTGTGCAGGGTTCACGCGATGCAAAGATGACAGGACACAAGTCTGCAGGAACTGACTGAAGCTGACTGAATGAATGCTCTCACTCACCAGCTGTATTTATTGAAAATCCATCTCCTCCTTTCCCCCCCTCCCCTTCATACATTACAGCATCCTAGTCATGAGACATGAACTAAGGAATGTGTGTGTGCAGGCAAGTTCTCTGTTATCTCTGCCAAGGTCAGATTGACTGTGTAGGCAATCACCAGACTTCTCATGCTGTTAGCACACAAATACCTTTGGGTTCCCAATCTCCAGGCAGGAGAATAGTGGATCCATCTGCACTGCTTTCCTACAGACATGAGGGTGAAAACTGAGGGATTTCAAGGGGTAGTTATATTTTAAGAGAGGAGGGATTTTGGACCTTTTACTTCATGTTTGGTTTTAGCTAGGGATATTTTAATTATGATTGTAAGCTGCCTTGAACCAAGAGAAAAGGTGGGATATAAATAGGGTGTCCGTTCCCCATTTGGGGGCAGGGAATCACTGGTTTTTCAGGCTCTTGCCTACCACCAGCCAGCTGGCTAGCAGGAG